CCCCCCGCCTGCTTTGCCTTCTGTCTGTGGCTAGTGACAGGCAGGGGTCTGGGCTGGGCATCACAGCAGGCTGGGCCTGGGGACCCAAGGACCACAGCTCAGCCGGAGGTGGGGGCAGCCGTGGGGCTGAGCACAGGGCGAGGACCTTTTCCACAGCCAGCAGCCTCCCTTCACCTCAGCATTGCTCTTAATCTTCCAACAACCCTCTTAACATCCGTGGTCTTCCTCCCCATCTCCCAGATGGGGACAGTGAGTCTCAGAGAGGCAGTGTCACGCCTAGGATAGCACAGCCTCTGTGTGGCTGAGCCAGGCCAGGCCAGGTTGTCTGACTACGTCCAGTACCCAGGGGGGTGACATTTCTGTTGTCAGGAGGTCAGGCTTTCAGGGAGGAGAGAGATTTCTGAGGGGTTCGGGCAGAGGGACACAGGTGACCGAGCAGCAGCAGGTTTTGGGGGGTCCTCAGCCATTAGCTTCCTACACTAGGGCAGGCGGAGGGGACAGTCAAGCCTCTGCTCCCCCCAGCCCAGAGCTGGTGTGGACTGAGGCGGGGGAGCAGGCAGCAGGAGGCAGCCTTAAAGCAGTGCTGAGCGCCCAGTGTCAGGCACAGGACTCTGTCCAGTGGGATCTGGGTGCTGCCTTCCTGGTTAGAGGGCAGGGGTGGGGACTTGGGACAGAAACCATATGTGGAACTGGGACCGGGGCTCCATCCTCGGGACAGGCTGACCCACAGCTCAGGGCCAAGAACAGTTGCGGATGCAGTTGCCCAAGAATGTCCCCAGGGGAGCAGCCCATCAGAATGAGTCACCACCCAGCCTGTGTCCTGCTTCCCCTGGCATCCCCTGGGTCAAGGCATGCACAGCCCTAGCAGGACCTGTAGCTATGAATCAAGCAGGCCTACCCCTGCTGTGTGACCTTAGGCAAGTCTCCTGCCCTCTCTGAGCCTCGGGTCCTTCCTTGTAAAATGGGGCTCCTAGTGATCTGTCCTCCAGGTTGTGGTATGAGTGGTTGATAGAGGGGGAGGGTCAGAAAGTTGGTCCCCCCTTCCCTTGGAAGGTGAAGCTGGGCTTGGCTGCTGCTGACCCCCATTCCTCCCAACTGCCACCCAGCCTTGGTGTGGATGTGACAGGGCATCCCAGATGTTTTGTGCACACATGAAACCCAGAAATGGACTCTAAATGTCAACCAGAAGGTATTTGTTCCTTTTTTAAGAATAAAAACCAGCATTTGAACTTTCACAGCCTTATAAGTGCTCATTTAATCCACATAAAACTGTTTTACCAGCCCCGTGTCTTAGGCTCAGAGAGGTTAATGGCCAGCTCAGGGTCACACAGCAAACCAGGGTGACATCCACAGATGTGGACACCAAATTCCAGCTTCTTCCCATGCCAGCTCTGCAGGTTTCATCGAGATCCGGGGCCTCCGACACTGTGGGATTAACAAGCAGATCTTTGTGCAGTGGAAGCCCGGGCCGTGGGCGGGCACAGGCAGCTGTCAGGAGGGCCTTCCTTATTCTGAGGCACTAATTGCTCCAGTAGAGCTCTCTCAGTTAGGTACTTTTAACTGGTAATCACCGAGGCTGTATGTGGGGGATTGGACATACACCAGGATCCTTTCCGTGTTTGGAGGCCCACTCCCTGGGTCCCTGAAGGTCAGGGCCCCAGAACCAGCCTGGGGTCTAATAGCAGAGTGGCTGTGGTACCAGCGCCCACGCCCAGGCTCCCACACCTGCTACCTCCAGCTCCACCCCTCCTATCGCCTCATCTGGCTCCTGAGAAGCCAGGCCTGGTGCTGCCAGGCCCCTGATGGTTGATGGCAGCCTGGAGGAGCCCGAAGCCAGGGCCTCTGTGTGGAGCAGGTGCTTTAGGAAAGCACCGTGCCTGTGTTGGGAGGTTCTATTAGTCTGCTTCTGTTGCTTATAACAAAATACACAGAACTGGGTGATTTATAAAGAAAAATGAAATTTATTGCTTATAGTTTCTAAGGCTGGGAAGTCCAAAATCCGCTGGTGGTGGCAACAGTGACCCAGGGGTCTCACATTGCAAGATGGTGGAAGCAGAGAGAGCAAGAGAGACAGACAGACTTTCCTCTTCTTTTAAAGCCCTGAGAAACATGCCCCTGACCACCGTTTTTAATCCATTCACTACTGCACGGTCCTTCAGTCCAATCACCTCTTCAAGGCTCCACCTTTCAATTGCCATAGTAGGATTTCCCACCTTCTTAACAGTCACGGTGGGGGCTAAGTTTCTAATACATAAAACTTGGGGGATGCAATTCAAGCTTCAATGAGTTTTGGGGGGACATAATTCAATCCACTACAGAGGCCAGGGCTGTGGTGAGAGCCAGCAGTCCTGCCTGGCCTGTCTGTCGACATCAGCTTGTAGATGCTCAGCTCCTCTTGGTCAGGATGCAGTTATGGGGTCATTACCTTGTGGAGCAGAAGGAGCCTGTCCTGGTCTCCCTGTGCTTGGTGGAGGACAGCCCTGAGCTGGGAGCCAAGACCCAGGTCCTGGTACCGCCTGGGCCCACCATTAATTCCTGCACGTCTCAAGCCACGTCCCTTCCCGTCTCTGGGCCTCTGCTTTCTCATCCAGCCTACAGTGATGGTGTCAGAAAAAGGAGGTGCCTCCCAGCCCTGACCCTGCAGCTCTGTCAGGGGCACCTTCTCACAACACTGCCCCATCCCCTGGCCTGAGTCCCTCAGGCCAGCCCGGCCCCTCCCGGGGAAGGAAGGGAAGGACCCACTTTGCACATTCTTCCTGCGTCCTTCTCCACCCCGTGTCAGTGCAGAGGCAGATGCCCATGTTCCAGATTGAGAAACTGAGGCACAAACATCACTAGCAGGCAGAAGTCTAGCCAGGATCACAGTGGAGTCGTCTTCACTCTCATCCTGATCCTTTCCCGAACCAGATTTATCCCCGTGGTTTCAGGCAGCTGAGGGGGGTGTGGATGAACTGAGGCTGTTGGGTTTGGGAGAATGAGGACTGAGTGGGAATTAGGGACTCGGCCTGGGTCCTGCACTACTGCCAGGCACAGTTCTAGTTGTTGGGGACATAACAGTGAAAAAACAAAGTCCCTGCCCTCATGGACCTGACCTTCTAGTGGGAGAGACGAATGATAAATACACGAGCCATAAAGACAGTTGTCGGGTGTGCTTGACAGTGACTTCCCTGTGTGGAAACGGGAGTGGCTGACGATGGCAGGGCCGACAGGGCTGGGTTGAGGGTTCCTGATGTGGGACTCACATGGACAGAATTTGCATCCTGACTCTACTCCTACTCTCAGTGTGATCTGGGCTGTTTACCTGTCCGAGCCTCAGTTTCCTCCTCCGAAAA